TCTCTCTAATTCTTGTTCCAGTGGAATTTTCATGGCAAAAGGAACTGGCCTAGCCTTCACAAATTTGGGTTGTGCATCTTGATTTGCATAGATTTTTGCTGTTGTTCCTTCCAAAGTACTTAATTCTTCGGTAAAAACCTCTTTGTGGGTTTCAAGAACTTCCTTCAATTCACTGCAAGGATGACATTCATTTATTTGGAATATTAAGGCCCAGTTCATTTTGATTACACGCAACCAATCTCGGCCCAACAGATTTGGACCTTGACCTTTGACCACAAGTGCGAGTAGGTTATGCTGTTGGTTTTCATACCGTACTGGAACCATTACTTCGCCCGCTACTGGAATTCTCTCTCCGGTATAGGTGCTAAGAACGACTGTTGTCTTGCGAAGTGGTGTCAAATTCTTACATAGTTTGTTGTATGTTTCTTCACTTATGATTGTCTTAGTAGCTCCAATGTCTAATTCCATTTTGATTGGCTGGCCTTCAAGTTCTACATCAGTTGAAATCGATTTGTCTTATGTTTTCTCTCGAATATTGTACAGCGAATATTCTTCCTCTTGGGCACCTGTGCATTGACCATTTTTACTTCTGTATCCTGTTCACGTTTCCCTCGACTTCCGGTTTCGCGTCGCTGTGGCAACTCTGCTTGCTTTGTTCCTCGCCTTGTGCTACGACAAACCTTTGCAATGTGGCTGATTTTATCGCAGTTAAAACATTTTAACTCGCGAAATTTACACGAATTTGCTGCGTGCTTTCCCCCACAACGATAACATTCGGAGCGACTTGATTGCTGGTTGTCCTCACGGTTGTTTACACGATTTATATTATTTGGGTCTTCGATAGAAACTCCTTTGGCGCCCAAATCTTCGACGTGTTTTGATGCCGATTGCATAGCTAACGAAAGTTCAACTGCTTTCTTGTATGTTAGTTCAGGTTCTGCTAAGAGTCGTCTTTGAATCTTTTCGTTGTTGATACCACATACTAATCGATCCCGTATCATATCATCCAAGGAAGTGCCAAATTTGCAATGCTCGGTCATTCGACGTAATTCAGCCACATACTTAGCAATTCCTTCGTCAACACGGCGAATTCTGCTATGGAATTTAAATCTCTCTACAATGACGCTTGGTGTTGGAATAAAATGCTTTTCCAGTTCTTTGAAAATTTCTTTTATCTCCGTATCACCCGGTTTCTTTGGCTGTAGTAAATCTCGAATTAATGCGTATGTTTTCGAGCCACACACGCTGAGAAATATAGCCCGCTGCTTTTTGGCGTCTGTCACTTTATTTGCTAGGAAATATTGTTCCAGCCGTTCGGTGTATTGGGTCCACGTTTCTTCTGCTTCATCAAACGGACTTACTTTTCCGTAGGTGGCCATTTATACGTGTGTTTCGCTTAAAAAAATCCTCGTCGCCAATGTTATAATCACCCAGTCTATGTCTCAGTACACAATGGCCCGAACCCCCAAAGGATCCTAGGATACTACACTAACTCATTTCGTTTGTTTAGAGTGGCCATTTTTGTCTTACAAATAATCGAAATTCTAATAATAATCGGGAATTGAAAAATCGAAACATCGATTATACAATCGAATGGAAACTATTGAAACGACCCAAGCCTTATAAGTGTGCTTCAAATCGATGTAAATTGTGCTTATGGGAGAAATACTTTATTATTTGTAAGCCAAAAATGGCCACTTTAAACAAACGAAATGAGTCTCTGTATCTAGGCATAATAAAAAATTCCTTTTAAGTAACATTTAAAATAACCTTGTAAGTTTTAATCTATAGTCATTAATAGGTCAATTTATCTGGAGAGTGCCACATCTTGTGGCAGGGCACTATTTAGTAATAAAGATGCCCAGTGGATTTTGTTGATTTGTGGTACCTTGTTGTCATTGTTTACTAGGAATTTCTTTTTATGGTTACATGTTGAATCTATTTCTGATTTTTTTGTTAGTAAAAATTGTTGTGTTTCTTTCCTCTAAACACAAATCCCCTTGATCCTCCCGTATAAGAAACGGCGCGTTTTATTATTGACCAGGTTATGTCGAAATCTTGTTTGTGTTCTTTTAATTTCCAAAAATACTTCGAAAGTTCTGTATCGTTTGAGCACTTTTTGTGATTGAAAGACCTATCGCACGCAAAGGTTATACACTCAAGGTTGTACGCCAGACGTCTTTACACTACGTTTGCGTGCACCACTGTAAATGACGTTTATTGTCAATAATTAAACAATATAAGTATTGTAGGGTCGATGTAAGGACGATGTGAGGTCAATTCTCTCGGGGTTCTCTAGGGGTCCTCTCGGGGTTCTCTGTGTGTCGGAAACGATTCAGTGTGATGAGTACTCTAACAAATATAAGAGACAAACAAATAGGATTGATGAAATTTACTTTTAGAATATAGAAATACAACAATTCATTCGATAGTATCGCTTTCATTGTCTGAATAATGTTGTCGTTTTTCTAAAAGACACTTGAAAAGAAACTTTCTCTTTTCAACTGCGGAATATAAAGCTTCTTCGCGGTCGAGGAAATTTACGTCAATCAAATTATATCTGGTCTGCATGATTTTCCTGTGAATTGGATCTTTTTTCATGTGTGACATCAACAGCAGCCTTTCTTCAAAAATATCTTCTAGTTCTTTTGTGAGTTTCGGAAGAAATTCTGAAAACGATTGCCTCTTAGCTTCTATTCTACCTCACTAAAACCCTCATAATTAAGGCATTCAACGTTTTCTTAAACTTCATCCAAAAGTTGCAGTTTTGCTTCGTGTATCAACGTTTTCCAGGAATCGTAATCCTCTCCATATTCGCTTGTTTCGTGTTTTCCGTCTTCGCTTTCGTCTTTGCTGTCATCTTCCTCGCTGTTCTCATTTTCTTCGCCGTTGCTCTCTTCACTGCTATGTTCTTTTTCTTTCTCGTCATCACAATCCGGAACATCACCGTTTTGAGATGAGGAAGATGCCCCTTCATCGTAATTATCCATCCTATCTCTTTTTGATCTGTGCATAATGCTGTAGTTTTAACTTCTTCATCTGCGCAAGATGTCTTGGCGTCACTCAAATAAATACGTCTTTCTTCACTTGATAGATGGTGAATGTCTGCCTAATGATTTGATAATTTGCAAAGGTTTTTCTTTCCGCAAAGAGGACAGTTTTTATGCGTTCGCGGCATCGGGCGAAATAATAATAATAATAATAATAAAAATAATGATTTATTATCAGTATTTCCATATATTACAATGGCTCTTCACCTGATAAAACTACTACTACAATATCTAAAGAAATAGTAAGAAAGTTGTAAACCTAGACCTAAGCATTGCAATTAAATAGTAAGACAGCGTTGCTTGAAAATATTAAAAGTTTGTCTAGAGAAGGCTCTATGATCTGCGCATGATTGATGTCAGCTGGTAGAGAATTAAATAATGAAGCTAAACAATCTTGAAAGGTATTAGCAACTAGAGGTAGAACTAAATTGACTTGAGCATTAGACCGTAAAACACGTGTGTGTTCAGAATTTTCAACACTAACATAGAGAGGCCAATCGCTGCTATATAACGCCTTATGTGCGGCTTTAAGAATATGCCAGTCCCTTCGTTCTCGCATAGGTAACCAGCCTAATTTTAAAATCAATTCAATATTATTTACATAACGTCCGGTCACAAAACTAGCAGCTGAGTACTGTATTCGCTGTAGTCTATTGAGTAGATGTTCGGTGGGTGGATAGAATAGTATGTCACTAAAGTCTAAACGCGAAATAATTAAGCTTTCAGCCAGATGCTTTCTCAGGGTGAAAGTTGTAAAGTTCTTAATTTTTCTGAGATTTGCTAGGGTGCCATAGCACGTCGAGGCAAGATTTTTCACATGGACGTCCCATTTTAGATTTTCTTTTAAATGTACTCCGAGTAGTTTCGTTGACTTTACTCGTTCCAGTGCTTTCCCTTCAACAGCAAGGTGCAGAGGGCGCATGACAGGGAGTAGTATGTTGACATCTGACTGATAGTGAACAGCATGCATTTTGTCTTTGTTGGATTAAGTGCCAAATTCGATCCTTGCGACCAATGATTCCTCTTGTCAAACGGGGCGCAGGGACGTTGCTACGGGACGCCCGGGACTCGTTTGCGGGACACTTTGAGAGGTGTCCTTGTATGCGGGACTCACAGGACGACGTTCTTACGGGACGCATTTTAACGTGTCCTTGCGTCCCGTAAAACTGTTATTGCAGCAAGACCCACACACGAATTCAAAGGGTACGTAACTTCTTCCTAGGTTATATAACCTTATTATTATTCGAAGCTCGCAGTTTGACATAAGTAGCGTAAGGATTAAACTAGATTAGTATGACTAAGTACTTCAATGTCACTGACATACTGAAATGATTTAAATCCGTGTGAACATACGTTTGCAAACGGAGGACGAAAATGTATTTAGTGTGAGAAAAGCTGTCAAATGGTTTATATCACTAGTAAAACGAAATCAAACGCCACAGGGATTATTCTAAGGTGCAGTGATAACCAATTTGTGCAGTGATAAATGAGATTTGTGCAGTGATAAATTACATTATGTGCAGTGATAAAATGGGATATTGTTCAGTACCAGAAATTGGCGACAAAATGCCCACTGCGTCTGCATGCTTGTATACTAATTTGCATATAGTCCGCATACAATGACTTCAGTTTTTACTGAGATATACAGGGTGAAAATATTTAACTCAAAATAATTGTAATCTGAGAGCTCATCTACTGTTTGCCGACCTCTTCAATTAAGCATTCATATACTAATGTTTCGGAGGCATATTTATTCCGATCGGGTATCTCTCCTAGCGGCCAAGTCGTGTTCAAGAAAATCATTTTTATGTCACCTTTGTATGGTTAAACTGCTGCCGAGCGATTTTGTTTTGAGATTTTTGACGCTATTTAAATAGTGTAGACTGTAGAGTAATCTATATCACTTGTGTAAAAAGCTAGATCTTGAGCAATATCGCTTGGTGTTTTGCATGCGATTCAAAAAATATGTGAAAATGTGTATATTTTTGCATGTAATAGAATACGCAGCATGCAGATTTGGGCTCATTAGCGGTGATTTTAGCTAATTTGCCCGCATATAATTAGTGACATGCATGCGGCAAACTTTAAGTTGCAGAACCAGAGTACTGTACATGCACTTATGCAGGGCAGTCAGAACGTTTTCCAAAATGTCGCTAAATTTATATAAATTTGATCATTTTTCACACTTTTGTGCAGTGATAAAATTTCCTTAGAATAATCCCTGAAACGCCATGCATTAGTCTATTTCGTGACTGTGCTCGTGAACGGTTGATATAGAAGAAAACATGAAGAAAATTATGGCACAAATTTACTTATTTCGTGTTTACGGAGATCGTATACCGTCAAATTCAGAAACTGGAAGAGGAAACACGCATAAATCAAGATGAAATTGATGGTAATCAATGGTCCAGGTTTGGACACCGTGTTGAAGGTTTAGATGAAGAAGAGCGCTGGGTGAATTACGCAGAACGGGCCCTGGCAATGCTGAATCATGAAGTGATGCGGAAAGCAATCGTTGAAGCATGCAAGATTTTAAAGTATCCTGAACCATCAGAAATACAACGAGATTATTTTGAAACACTTTTTCACTTGTCATGTTTTGTTTGGTATCAAATATTCTCTGAGTTCGAAAGAACTGTTCCTCTAAGCAATCTCATGGGCTACATTAGCTGTGTTTGTAAATTAAAATACAATTCAACCATATAATGTACTTAAGAAATAAATAATTTTAAAACGTATTGTGCTTTTAAGTTGTCCTTAAACCCTTTTCTTTATTCCATGCTGTTGTTTGCAGTATCAGTATTTATTTTAACCATGGGCACTTGCTATAGTAAAAATGATAAAGAGAAACAAGGATCATAATAGACAAAATTAAAAATGTTCAGATTCGGCATTAGCTTTGGTCGTAATGATTTAAGGCCATTTTCAAATGGGGTACAATAGCAAAACAATTAAGGACTATGGACCCAATTAAAAGCGGTTGGTTCTTCCACAAATTTACCTTCGACAACAACAGAATCAAGCGAGCAGACAGTTGTGACTTCAAGGTCGGATACTGAAGCAACGGAAACGTAGTGTTATAATAAAAAGACATTCTGTAACCGATAAATAGACTAATGTGTTCATGGCGTTTGATTTCGTTTTAACTGATGTAAACAATTTGACAGTATTCCTTGCGTTCTATACCCAACCATTAATTCAAAGCAATTAGAGCTGTCAAATTACTACAATACGTTATAGCTAATTTGAATTTGAAAGGGTTCACTTTTTTTTGAGACATACTGTATATAAATTTGAGAGTTGTTTAAAATTAATTGATAACCAAAATA